ACGACCTTACTCCATTTATATATGTAGCTTATGCTCTAAAATTGATGGGTAGGTTTACTTACTCTGGTTTGTATCAACTTGGCACCCAAACTTCATCAGTTGACATTCATTATCGAACAGTCTGAGTCTTATTCCGTTTTCTTCATACCTCAAGCCGCACACTTGAACGTCTTCATTCTCATCACATTTTAAATTCTCACAGAATTCCTTCTTAGCATCGTGAGAAAGTTTTCCATGCACTATGTATAAACAAATAAGCACGTAATGTAGTTTTTTCATTGCTGTAACTCTTTAGGTACGTCCGAAGGCACAAGATAGAGTTAACTTCATAAAAATGTATCTAGAGACCACGCTAATTAATTTTTGCGAACGCAACCGGTTACTATGGATCATGAGGGATGTATATATTCACGTGACGCGAGTCGTTGAATGGGTTCCTAGCAGCTAGTTGCCGCCAAAGACGGTGCGTTATCTACGTGTAAGTATCGTTTAATTCCATTTTATTGTTGATTGCTGTATGTTATTTGAGTTTCCTTTGTATTTAATTTATGATTCGCTTCGGTGAAAAGTGAAATGAAATCGTTTATTCGTAAACATAGGTTATATAAATTTGTTTGCATGATTGACATACAGTGCAATACAGCGAGTTCGTCTAAGCTTTGCCTTGAAGTATACAAATTCATATAAGTAGTATTAGTAAATAGATTTAAATAAATTCAGAACAAAAATACATTAATATTCATTTATGTATCTACACAGGAACAAGCATTTATAATGGAAGTTAAACCACTGAACCTTCTTTACTTTATAAAAATTGACTAGATGTATTACAATAAAAAAAAATGTATGACAAGGGCACGGACCTAGAGTCAGTGGAGAAATAATATGTAATATTATAAAAAAAAAACCACTAAACCATCGTCACCAGCCATATCATGAGCTTTAATCCCTAATGCGGAATGTCAAAGATTTAATCTAAGGAATATAATAATATGGGATGTCATGATAAGCACAAAATTACATAAAATATCCAATGTCAGTGGAATGTCAAATAATGAAAAGGAAAAATAAGAATACAAAATGTAATATGTACATACGTACGACATAGGTAAATCCATGGTCATTCTGAATAAAATCACCCTAGATAGTCCGGTATGGTTACATTTTTGAAAAAACCAATCATTTACATATATTGCAAATCGTATATAACAGGCCTTTTTTTTTTTTAAGGGGGGAAAATCATCGAATGACTGCCCCCGCCTGGGTGAGGCGGGAGGGAGTGTCAGACTCTTACTGACTAAAAACCACCCCGTTCCTTCTCCTGCACGTCGAGCCGGAGCCCCGGTTACCCGTTAGGTTCTCCGCGGCTCCGAATCGGCATCGGCCCTATTGGGCCCCATCTGTGGTGGTCTGATGGCTCTTTGAGGCGCGCGCGGAACGCGACGCGCCGTACGCTCGGGTCTGTTTCTGGTCGGACGGGGAGCCACCCATGCTCGCCGTCCGCAGGCCCGCGCTTACGGTGGCCGGAGATCGTCCCGCGATCCCCGACGCCCGGTGTGTCCTTCGCGATGGCTGGGTTGCGAGGAGGCAGCGCTTCGCTGCCTCACGCGTCCCGCCTCCTCCTTAGCTAGCATGACTGCTTCGCAAAAGGAGGAGACGGCATCCCAATCCCCCTCGCTCCGCATCATGGCCTGCACTAGGCCCGGACGCGAGAGGTCGCCATCGCCGATCACTTCCCTGAGGACACGGCGGTGCTCAGCCCACGAAGGGCATTCTCCCACCGTGTGTTCCACCGTGTCCTCAGGGCGGTCCTCGCAGTGATGACACCCGGGCGTTTCCTCCCGCCCCATCAGACACAGGTACCTCCCGAAACTTCCATGTCCGGTGAGGACCTGCGTCAGGCGGTAGGTGAGGACGCCGTAGCGTCTCTCAAGCCACTCCTCAAAGAGGGGACTTACCGCTGCGATGGCAGCGAGCCCAGCCCTCGGTTGCGACAGTCGTTGCTGCCATTCCGCCATGAGATCGCGCCGGAGCTCATCCCGCCACGCACTTATCTGGCGCGGCAGCGGAGTTTCGCCCCGGCGACGTGCCTCCGCGCGCATGCTGTGCACGCGCGCGAGCACCTTCGCCTCCAGATCCCACGGCGGTAATCCGGCAAGGAGGTTCGCCGACTCCCCAGAGATCGTGCGGTATCCGCGGATCATTCGGATCGCCATGACCCTCTGTGCCATGAGCAGCGTCCGAGCGGGACGCCGCAACAGGTTAGGCGCCCAAACAGGGGCGCCGTAGAGGGCCATGGACCGCACGACCCCGGCGTATAACCTCCGGCAGGAGGCGTTTGGCCCCCCGAGGTTGGGGAGGATGCGTTTAAACGCAGCCCCCGTCCTCTCCAACTTTGGAGCCAAACGTCGGAAGTGTTCAATGAAGTTCCACCGACTGTCGAGGACGAGTCCTAGGTACTTCATCGTCGTCTCGACGCCGATGGTAACTCCTCCCGCCGTTATTTGGGACCCACCCGGAGGTGGCGCGTTCCCGCGGCCATGAAAACACATGGCCTCGGACTTGTGGAGCGCCACCTCGAGTCCCAGCTGCCGGATTCTCTCAACGACTGTCGCAACCGCTGTCGCCATTAAGTCGGCCGCCGCCTGGTGTGACCTCCCGTGCGCTAGCACCAGCGTATCGTCGGCGTAGATATAACAGGCCTAGCATCTTTCATCTAAATAGTCATTAATTTTTTAACACTTAGTTAGCAAGAATTCATGTAGACGTTTTTTAAATAATTATATTAATATTGTCCATTTCTATTATGTCTTTAGGTAACTTATTGAGTATTTTTATTTTCAATCAGTTTTAATTTTGTTTGGGTTTATCAGCTGTTTTAGCGTATAAAAAGTTATTAGTTTTTATAATAACTATCGTGAGACATACTAAATTAACTAAAATCGCGGTTTACTCACGTGAATATGCGGAGAAAAGCTCTACTAGTTTCGAATCACAGAGGGGTTCTTCCTCATGAGTAAAGAAACTAGTACTTAGAGCTTTTCTCGGCATTCATGTGAGTAACCCGCGATTTTAGTTAATTGAGTTTTTAGTTATTTAACTAAGTTGCACACACTTGTTGTCAGTCCTTTATTAGGTACGTTCCGTTTAAACTGTCAAACGCCGCGAGGACGCCGGTGACCGCAACCTATTGTTATTTAACTCGTCGAGTACCGGTTTTGTAGACACAATTATAGAACAATAAGTTGCGGTCACCGGTGACCGCTTGGTGTTTGACAGTTTAATTGTGTCTTTAATGACAGTACTCAAAGGGTATTTTTTATTTCGACGTACTCAAAGGGTATTTTTTATTATGACGGTATTTTTTACAGTTTTGAAGTACCTGTAACAATTATTTGGTGCATTAACAAGGAGCAGTGGCTAAGGCAACAGAAATTTGGATTTTAAGCTGTTGTTCAGTTGTATTTCGGTTTGATAGCACTTGCACTATCGTCTTACACTTTTGTTCATAATTTAGCACTGTAGGTATGTATATAATTGTTTCAACTCGATTTACCTACTATTTTTCCTATGATAATAATACGGAGCGTAGTGTAATCGGTTACTAGGGACGCACCGTCTCCCTACGTGACTTAAGGTCATGGTAGTACACAGAAACGGCTAACGACACGGCTGCAGCACATTACGCCACGTCACGTTAAGAGTCTGATACTCCCTCCCGCCTCACCCAGGCGGGAGAAGTCATTCGGGTTCATCATTGTTTTGGAAAAGTCAACAGCACGCCGTCCGTGCGCGCACTGAACCTATGCTATTTATGAATTATAATTCATACTAGAGACCCATGGAGTGTACCTACTCACTCTGCAGACACCCAGGCTACGTGGGCTGGTTCTACTGGTCCGTTGGTACACAAGTAAGATTTCTTAAACAATGTAGTTTGGTCTTTATAACACAACTACAGATGGCATACGATTTGAACAAAAATGTATAGGTACCTACAGTATACCAAATTCTTCTCTACTTTGTCACATATAGATTATTTTAATCGATTTTCAGGTTTTTGGGCATTCTCCTTTAAGACTAGTTAATAGCTGGGTTGGAGCGGTGCCGTTACTGAGTGTGTGCTGTGACGTTTAGGTAGATTTTTTTTAAATTCACTTTAGCCTATGTTGCTTAGTTAAGATGCAACTTTATAGCAGTGAAATATTTTTTGAGATTGAAGATGGGGGATTGTACAAAATCCTACACCAAGTTCTACTCTTACATTGTGCCGAGGTAACTACAAGCTAGCAAAGTATGGAATGCTCTGCCAGTGATGGTAGAGAGCTCAGTTACTGGGAACAAATGAGTACCTACCTGATTTTGTATTATGTTCATGTACCTAGGTAGACCTAGACATCCCGTCAAAATGTTTTGTACGTTTTTGTACGTTCTGTCCAACTGTCCGCCCAAGAGTAGTCTGGTAAATATCAATATCAATATCAGTATTATAAGGCCGCCTTTGTACCCATGCGTAATGATGTGGGTTAGAACCTTATTAGGCAGCCAATTTCATGCACACACTAAATATACCTAAGTAAATTACCGAAACTTCGATAATAAAATTATGGCTAATTGCTCAGATATCATATCATTATAGACGGTTCAAGTTTAATTCATTAATTAGTGTAATAAAATCGTTTTTCTTTCTTACTTTGAATCTTCGGTTTTGTAAGTCAGAGACATCTTGTGTTCGTTTCTGCAGTCCGATGAAGTTAGATTATTAGATAGAACCAATAGATGTCACTGCTATCGAACCAATTTAGTTATGTGTTCATTTTATAAGAATTTGTAATTTATTTCTATTTATAATTAAATTAATTGAACTAACATGAGCTTTGAAAAAATAAATAATTTCCAGATTTAATTCTTAGCTTCGTGCTCAGAATGACAGATTCAAAGTCAACTCAAGTCACCTGTTTAGTAAAGTTAAATGTCAAATTAGACAAGTGTCAAAAATATAATACACTTTTGTAAGCACAAAAAACAACCGGAGTTCGATTTATTGCACAATATTATTTTATAAGTCATTCTTCATTGCGACCACGTTGGAGGTCGACATGTAAACAAGGAACAGTATTTAACTTTTATTATTAGTGACAAAAAATAACCTACAATGGCGTCTAAATCAGAAAACGTTCGTGCTAGGATCGTAAAGGCATACGAATTAGATGAAATTGAAAAATTAATCAAGGATGCGAAAGTCGCACATGTTATGCTTACCGAGGCACCTCCACTGGGTAAGTGAATCTACCTATAACATAAATACTTTTCATTGCATGCCAGTAAGTGCTTAACAAAACGACATTTATGTCAAGGTTCTACAAGTGATATGATTCTAATGCTTAGGTCATTTCATAACACATCATGTAAAGGTGTAACCTGTTACAATATGTTTCACAACATACTGAAAATAATATCAATACAATGATGTTTTTGTTTTACACTTTGTGGTAAAAACAAATTCTTATTATTGTAATAATTTCTATTGCCTATTATTGTAATAACTTCACAATTATGTATCATGTGTTACTCAATTTTCTTGGTAAATGATTTGGGATTCCCAATGGATTATTGTATTTGTTTTTCTGTGGTACAATGTGCTGCTTATGGCTATATAGTTGATTAAAAAGAGATCACTCTTCACACTTTAATTTTAAAATCACTGTGTTACAACACAGTGATTTTATGATTTTAGTGATTACATGAGGGACAAACACATACACATTTTTAAGAGAATGAGAATTGACAATAATGGTCTGGTTTTCTCTGCAATTAAAATTAATAATTCACATCGTTAAAGTAAAACTGGTATTAAATTTTCACGAATTAAGTATTTACATGAAACAACTATTTAAAAAATCTAAAATAATTAGATGGCATTTACACAATTCATGTTAATTCTTGTTTAATGTCACTTTTTCTTTAAAGGTGCGATTGTGTAAAAATTACTCTGAGGAGAAATATTCATTTAATTTTACTGTCATGTCATGCACTTCAAATAAGCTTTTATCTCATTATCAGATTTATATTGCCCAATATTATCTGATCAATGTGTAGTCATTTATTTTATGTTAATGAGTAGATTATCCACAGACAAATAATAAGTCATATTCATAATATATTATAACATTTGTGAGATAAACTAAATGAATTATTGTGTTTTACGGCTTACTACGAATAGATTTCCTCGTCAAATGGTTATGTGAGAAAGCCGAAAGATGTAATAATTAATTCGTATTTACTAATGTTCCAAACTATGTTTTTGATGGATTTCAAAATTAGTGGTAAAACTATATTTTTGAAATCAAAGTAATAACAATAAAAAATGAATAATATTACTTATAATTATCTAATATTTAATTACAGTCGATGAGGCAAGTGTATTGACCCGCCTTAGTGCTCTTACTCTCCGAAGCTCTGACGGTATTAGTTGTTCCTGTTGTGGTGTTGGTCCGTTCACCACCAGAGCACAGCAGACTGCTCATTATAAACACCACTGGCATACACATAATCTAAAGAGGAAGCTGTTTGGACGGAAACCTATTAGTCTTGGAGAATATACTGCTCGTCAAGGTGAGTGGAAACTTGGCTGAATTATTCTTGGCCTCTAAACTAAACTCCGACCGATCTTAGTCCAAAATCCTCTGGATTGGTTTAAATTGTTGACAGAAACTCAATACATTTGTTATTGAAAAGCGACATCAATACTCAGATGTTTGATTGAAATTGGTTATTTAAATTGGCTGTTAGAATATCACAAAACAATAACTGAATACTTTGTACAACAACAGCAATTAAAATAGACTACAAAGTTGCATATTTATCGGAACTAGTTTAAAACTGTTTAAGGCTGAAATGGTGCATTATGTACATTTTGACAAGAATTTAAAATGTTGCCATTTAGCATTTAAATAGTTTTATGTAAAATGGTTTGTTTATCACTTGCTACACTGTAATAAAGTGAAAACAAAATGAATTATTATTTGTTTTAAACTGTCTCTTCTACTTAAAGGTAACTCTTTGTTTTTTCTTATCACAAATTACCATTACTTGGTTTAGCTGATATACAACATATTATTAATAACTGCTATTGAAGTTCTATAAATGAAGAACACGCATAAAGAAGTGGAGGTGTGCAAAATAATGAATTATATCTTTGAATTACAGATGAAAGCTCAAACGTGTCAGCTAGTGATTCTGAAGCTGACGACAACCCTGATGCTGCAGCTACTGAGCTGTTTGCACTTGCCACTCGGCATTGCAAGGCATTCTACTCTAACCCCAAGGGGCAGGTGTTCTGTATTTACCGCTGTTTGCTGCACCATAGGAAGGTAATATCCATGAAGTAAGACAATCAAATAAAATGCTGGTAGTTAGAGACCAGGTTATAAAAAAAAATCAGTTTCACTGTGTTGTGTAAAAGATCCCTTTTCGCGCCGTAGTTACTATCCGTAGTTTGCTCGCAACACAGAGATCCACGATTATCTTAGAATCTTAATTGTCGTAACTGAAATTCAACAATATAAGAAAAAGTACACAAGTACAAGTAAGAAACATGAGACATCTTTGCTCGCCCCAGTGCGTTTCGCGTTTCCATAAAAAGATCGCGTGCGCCTCGGGGTCGTCGAGTATTGTATGTCGGCGTGCGCTAGCGCGCGCACCGGCTTCAACTCTCAACAAAGAAGCGTCGCGGAGAACCTAACGGGTTACCGGGGCCCCTGCTCGACGTGCAGGAGAAGGAACGGGGTGGTTTTTAGTCAGTAAGAGTCTGACACTCCCTCCCGCCTCACCCAGGCGGGAGCAGTCATTCGATGATTTTCCCCCCATAAAAAAAAATAGGACATCTTTCTACACATCCAAATCCACTAGCTCTCCATTTAGTGTCTTCTGTGCCTGTCAGATTAAAGAGAGCAGATATGTTTCCTACCTGAGGGGCGTCTACAGATGAATATCTGTAGTCACTCCCAACGTTTTTTGGCCTTAAACTAATTCTTTCATAGTCTGGCGACTGATTGTATATGACAGAAAAAGGTTACCCACTATTAATTTGATTGGATCATCATATTGTACTCATTACTTTGGAAATTTAAAATACGCACGATCATTGGTGCCTTTGCGCACGCATATCCACACGCGTTCTCGCGCAGAAGTGTCCATTACGTTTGTAGAAAAGTTAGTATAGTTAAATTTTCGCTTTGATGCACTTCGACTCTGCATCTTTATAGAGACTAGGCCCCATTAGTGTGTTAACTGCATTGTGTTTTTACAACGTAGTGCGTCGTACCGTACAAAGCAGAAGCATATGCCTGTAAAACTTATTTCTGTCTTGTTTATTATAGGAAGAGATGTCGCACGACGGCGAGGGTCATTTTTGGGCTCGTCGTTTGAAGGAACTCCTAAGTCCGGGCTTTGGACGCTGGGCTGTACTGATGGTATCAGGTGGTCATTTCGCCGGTTGCATCTTTACTGGAGGCAGTGACGCTATCCATAAGACTCTTCATTCGTACACCACGCGAAGGGGCCAAGGTATGGCGCAAGCAACGAGAGATCAATCAGGCAACGCTCCGAAGTCAGCAGGTGCAAGCTTAAGGAGATACAACCAAGAGCAGTTCCTTGCGGTGAGTGGAGTCGTATCATTTTCATGTTTATTCCGAAATGTCTATTTCTTAGCTGTCTAGCTACAAAGTTTTTTGTGAGTTGTGACCTTATAATTTGACAACAATTGGATGTTCCAAGTATGAATTCATTTATTTCTCTTCATGGTAAGTCTAATAAAAGCTCAAGAGTTAATAATAACATTGGAAGACAGATATTTTGTTCAGGACTAAAACAAAAATCCTATTATTGGAATAGGTTTTCCTCAGGGTCCAATTTTAGGTCCAGTGTGGTTTGTAACCGAAATAATTTTACTAACATGAATGCATTTCTAACATTGTTCGTATATTAACAGACTAATGAAATTTCACAGGATTTTATATTATTGGGATAGATATGATATACTAGTTTTATAAGTTGAAATATCTGCCGTTTCTGTATGGTAAGCAGTTTTTAACTAAGGGGCAAATATGTGTCCCATTTATATTACTTGGTATGCTAATATTTTACTCATAGTAACTTGTATGAAAGTATGATAATATTGGGAGGCTAAAATGCGAAAGCTTATCGCTACTGCCTACTGTTTATTCAGCTGATAACTGACTTAATAACTTTACCAAATATTGGGCATGGAGTGGAATTGTAATAACAAATAATGTGGATTGTTCTAACAGGTACTGTTTACATAACGATTTGGCTTGCTTGTGGGTATTTGTCTCTAAACCTAAAATTCAGTTTTATATTTTTGGTTCGGTAAATATTGAGTTATTAGGCTATACATCATGTAGCTAGAGCGACTAGCGTATAATCCGAAAAAGCTTCGTAAAGTACACAGAATAATGTCATCATTCATTCGTATTTTCAACCTCTCATACAATCACTGGAGCAGGCCAACAGACTGCCTCGGACGGCTGGTCCGCTCTTGAGACGCTTCAAGTACAACAAAGAAGAGTTCTTAATGGTAAGTGGTGTAACCATAGCAACGAGCGTAAACGAATGCAGTACAACGAAAATGGCGGATGCGTTACTTTACGCTCGCCGAATGCTACCGTCCTCATGGATCTCAAGAGTGCACCGTGCATACATACCATCTGACCAATTGGCTGATCGGGAAGAAATTGTGTTTAAAATAAAGTTCGAGACAAAATTTGTTAAGAAAATTTACAGAGACCGAATGCACGGTGTATAGTGTTGCCATAGTGAAATCTATTTTCCTACTATAAACCATTGGCAAATATATTTATCAACTTTAAATGTTATTACTTATTAGTGCTTTAAAATAAATATACATAAGTATAATATCATATTTAGAATTATGTGAAGCGTTAAGTTAACTTCTTTTAAGCTTTTTCTGTCACTGGTCGTGTACAACGTATAACAGAATGGTGTTGCCATATCTTGAGAATTAAATGTACTCATATCTACCGGAAAATGTATTAATTAGAACAAAAAATCTTGCTTCATTAATTATGCAGTTGTATTTGTAGTGTGGGAGAGCCATGCGTCGGCACGAATGGGCCGGTTCAACCGGAGTGATACCACGGCCTCACAGAAAACCGACGTGCAGCAACGCTTGCGTTGTGTTTCGTCGTATGAGTGAGGTTACCGGAGGCCCAATTACCCTCCCCTTCCCCAATCTCCCCAATTCCTGAATCCCCAACGATCCTCAAACTCCTAATTCACTAAAAGGCCGGTAACGCACTTGTAACGCCTCTGGTGTTCCAGGTGTCCATGGGCGACACCGATTGCTTACCATCTGGTGATCAGTCTGCTCGTTTACGGGCTTATGCCATAAAAAAAAATATTACTATATTTTACTGTACTTACAAATGAGTACTATAATGGCTTGAGATATGGTAACATCATTTCTTTACACATTGGACGTTCTCTTAAAGTATAAACTAAGAAATGAAGATTCGTGCTTAATGTATGTGAGATATATTTGTCCTTATTATATTGTATGTTGCGTTGTTGTACTATCGCAGACCTCAATCTGCCGAGATTACCTACTTCTCTGTTCTTCTATGTGATGATAGCAACCACTGCTTTTACAAGTCTTGGTAAAATATTTTTATTTTAGATTGGGCGCCTCTGTTTTGTTTTAATAATAAATTGATATAAACCTGTGTGAATATTTCCAACTTGATTAGGAAAAGAAAATTGGCAACAATCCGTCGTTCTGAAATTTCTGGAAGATAAATAAGTGATTTTGGCTCCCAATCCAAAAATATTTATGTGTACCTGTTTAGATATTATTATACATCTTTATATGTATTTGTATATATGCTGCATGAATATCTAATAAATAACTATATGTATAAAATTATGTATTTGCACGTTAAAATATTGCACGTATGTGTGGTGCACGGTCGTTGCACGTGTGTATATGAAATAAAAAAAAAGAATTAAACGCTATATCTTTTACGATGGTGTTTTATTTCAGTAGTTATATATAATTGATGTTCGTACAAGATATTATTGGTATATGTTGCATTTGAACGACAGGACACATTTAATATGGCGTTCATTTTGGAGAGAAAAATGAATCAACTTCTACGCACGACTCGAGCCATTATTAAATGCGTCCATACACACAGGACCTATTGTCAGTATCTTAATTTTCTTTTAGCACGTCCAAAATATTCTGGTTAGCTGGAATGATGACCTGAAAGGCTGTTCGCTGGTGTTCTACCGGGCTGTGGGGACAATTAACCAGGCTGCCCTCTTCGGGAAACCATCGCCTTTGAGGAAAGAGGACCCGAGGGTCAGGCAACTGCCCTTCCCAACTAGGAGACCTTCTTTCAAAGAGGTCAAAAGGGTGTTTCAAACTTTGGCCAGTATTGAAGTTTATGGTAAGTCTGTTTCACCCCCTATTACATGGGACTAATAACATAAACAAGTGAAAAGTGGGTGTTACATTGTACAGTGGCATTGAGTGCCGTAATGTGCACCTCTGCATACCCTTTCGGGAATATAAGGCGTGATGTTATGTTATGTTTCTTATATGTACCCCATTATAAAAACTCTTGATTGGTTTTGAAATGAAATGATAGAATTATTTTTATTTTTGCAAATGGATTAGAAAATAACACTCTTTCACATCAATATTTAAACTAACTAGATGTTGCCCATTTTCCAAAACCACATTGTTTTCATCGTAGAATTGTAATTTAAATTTAAACAAAGGCTATTTTCTGTGTCCAAATAGCCAGAATAACAGTCATATGCCAGTTTATTTTTGCAAACTTCAGCGACTTCTTCAGCGCCCCAGGAAGGGTTCTAATAAAATTTAAGTCGCTGATGTAAACTTCGATAAACCAAATTCCATAAATTAATAACTAATAAAAAAAGACTGCCTCGTTGGCCGAGTGGTCGTAAGTGCGACTGCCGGGCAAGAGGTCTCGGGTTCGATTCCCGGGTCGGGCAAAGTATTGCTGGGTTTTTAAATACTCTCAGTAGTAGCACGGAGTCTGGAATTGTGCCCAGTATATGGCAATAGGCTCACCCCCTATTACATGGGACTCATAACATAAATAGTGAAAAGTGGGTGTTACATTCTACAGTGGTATAATGTGCACCTCTGCCTACCCCTTCGCGGATAAAAGGCGTGATGTTATGTATGTATGTAATAACTAATAATTATAATCAAATTAATATTGCAATCCACAGAATCGTTGCAAGACTTCCAAAAAGGGCTGCTGGCTCTTAATGGCGGTAAAATTCCATCGAAAACCAACTCGGATACCAATGTCAAAAAATCACAAAAACAACCGGCAAAAACATTTGACAGAGCTAAATCTAGGTAAAATATAGCTTATTTATTTTTCGCTTTCTTTAACCTCTTGGCTGACGGTATATTAGACACGTATGGTTACTGGGAACGATATCTGGGGCGGAACTGCTTAAGATCTTACTGAGAATAGAAAGAAACCGACAGAAAAAGATTTGAAGTCTAAACATCAATCTATAGAGGTCATGCCTATCAGATTTTTTTTGAGCAGTGAAAATCATCCAATGGCTTCTCTCGCCCGGGTGAGGCGAAAGGGAGTGTCAGACTCTTACTGACTAAAAACCACCCCGTTCCTACTCCTGCACTTCAAGCCGGAGCCCTGGCAACCCGTTAACTCCTTCGCGGCTATGTCTAACAGCTAGCCTATACTTAGTTTACCTAAACAGATTGAATACCTTTAAAAAGTACCCACTCTATTCTTCATTACAGAGAACGCGCTCCCCGCGAGCTCCCCACCCAAGTGACGTCAAGTGAAGACGAGGGTCCTTGCTACATCGACTCGGAGACACCAGCCGGTTGGATCAAAACCCTATCAGAGCAAAGCAGTAACGGCATCATCACGAACTCACGGAAAGACCTCCTCAACGACTGTGTGATCACCAGCTGTGTGGACTCAGAGAGTGAGAAAGAGGTCGTAGAGAAGAAGGAAGAGCCGAGAAGAAAGAAGAAGGTTAACAAGAAACCTGATGATAAGGCTGTGCCTGTCAAGAAGGGACCTCCCAAGATTCCTGCTAATGTTAAGAATGTAAGTCCTAGTTTGATTCATATTTATTGATAATATTTTTAACAGAGTCTATTCCCAGGTCAGGCAAAGTACTACTGGGTTTTTAAAAAAAATCTCAGTGTTAGTACGGAGTCTGGAATTGTGCCCGGTATATGATAATAGGCTTTATATATGATTACATGGGACTCATAACATAAACAGTGAAAAGTGGGTGTTACACTGTGAGTACTATGGCATCATTAAGGGCTGCAATGTGCACCTCTGCCTACCCCTTCGGAGATAAAAGGCGTAATATTTTTTGTACATGTTTTTTTTAAGTTCAATTTTAAAATGCAAGTCTATTACCTGAATTCGAACCAAATAATAAATTCTGTGCGATTTTTGAGAATGATTCATAACAAATTCAAATACTATATTTTCAGGAAACTACAATTTTCCAATAGCCACTAAACCTACAATATGCTTTTTCACCATATTTTTCTCAATACCAAATGCCAAACTTTTACAGATGTGGAGATCAATTATGGACAAGGACAGCACTAGTCTCGATACAATTATTGAAGCGTTCGAGGGTGACATTCAAGCGGCTTGCAACACCCAGGATCCTATTGATGGCAACACTGCCTTGCATAAGGCGGCCATTGCTGCCAAACCAGAGATGGTCACGTAAGTAAAGTTTTATCTACATATTTATGTACACACATACAACATAAAAGACTACACATATATAAAATTAAAGTACAAAGGTACCACCTATTCCTATTGGGATTTCTTCTTGTGGACTTGTGGCAGGAAAAGTAATAATGAAATAATGACACAGTGTGAAATAGCAAATAGAAAAATGATATAGAAACTGACTTCAAACTAATCAGGAAAAACTGAACAAATACATACAATATATAAACTACACATCTTTATATATTGCTCTTTTTTAACGTTTTAGTGTAAATTAGGAGATGTAAAATGTTACTCTATGGATCTGTGGTGTGACAACAATGGATAAAATAATGAATATGTGAAAGAAAGTCTGAAACTGGTCAAATCCGGACAAAATTAAAAGAATGCATCAAAAAACCATGTGTTCATCGGCTAGTTTACTCAGTCAAGAATAAATTATTTCAACATACAATAAAAAAAATATTCAGAAATAATCACACTTCATTTATTGTTTTGGTTATATACTTTATTTTTGTACTAGCTTTTACTCGCGGCTTCGCTCGCGTCACAAAAAATATAAAGTAGCCTATGTGACATATAACATTACACACAGCGCCATCTATTACCAATACTTTTGTTTTCCCTCGGGAATATCACATTTTTCCGGGATAAAAGTACCCTATTATTTAATCCGGACTTCTAACTTTACGTCTGTAAAAAATCAAAGCAATCGGTTTAGTAGTTACGGCGTGAAAGCGGAACAAACAAACAAACAAACTCACTTTCCGATTTATAATATTAGTAAGGGGATAAGGATTTATCAAAATCATTTTTATAAAACAAGTATGCTATTTGACGCAATAATATTACTTTGACTAGTCGTCAACTAGCATAATATGTAGCTCTTTAATTAAATATAAACTAATTAAACGTTAAAGTTTAATAACCACTGATTGATGGTGATTAAATACACAATAGTCACGTATAACTACGTATTCCAGTCAGATCCTGTCAGCGGGTGGGGACCCTTGCATCAAGAACCACGACCTGCAGACTCCGTACGCGGCCACGCCACACGCAGACACCAGGGTCGCCTTCCGAATGTTCCAGGCACAACATCCCGACAAGTACAACTATTCTAAGGTATTGAATCCTGTTGTCCTGATATCAACTAGACAAGACAAGACGTCCATTATTGAACACCAAGAGCAATTTCATACCCGGGCCCAGTTCGCAGCAGAGGCCTTAGTACGAGTTTGATTTACGTTCAAAGTATTCGAAACGAGTATGCGTTCGGCACTCTGATTGGCCGGCGCCAATGAAGCAACCAATCAGAGCGCCGAACGCATACTCGTTAGGATTACTTAACAGAGCAGGAAGTCTTATAATGATTTCATAAGGCCACTCCTAATAGCGTTCAAATGAACGCTAATGCTTATTTTTACATGATATAAAACGAATCTGCCTCGTTGGCTGAGTGGCCGGGCAAGGGGTCTCGGGTTCGATTCTCGGGTCGGGCAAAGTGTTACTGGGTTTTTAAAAAAAATCTCAGTAGTAGCACGGAGTCTGGAAATTATCCTATTATATGGGACTCATAACATAAATATGTAGTGAAAGTGAGTGTTACTTCTGTGTGCACCTCTGCCTACCCCTTCGGGGATAAAAAGCGTGATGTTATGTTATGTCATATAAAACGAATTTGTACTTCGGCACGTCTCGTTCGTCTGTCTATGACAAACTAAAAACTGCTGAAATGTTTTTATTGGGTTACTGCTAGTTGATAATAATTTAAAAGGAACTCCCGACAATTTCATTGTGGCCACTTGACCTGGTTAGGTTAATCAGTATGATTAATATCTACGTATTGTAGATCTTATACTTAAACATTAAATAAATAATTTTCCAGTCCCAAATCCCTGGTCCAGTTACTCCAGAGCAGTTAGAACAAGAGAAAGAGAGGAAGGCACAACAGAAGAAGGCGAAACGTCAGCGCGAGAAAGAGAGGCAGGTTGATAAGATGAAGGGGAACGCGTTCCTACTACTCAGTGACGACCAGAAGGTATGTAACGTCAATCATTAAAGCTGAACATCCACTGCCAGCTAAAATAAGCTACTTCGGATAGTTGACACACTTTTTCATACATTAGCTGGTACTATGCAAGCGAAATAACTTATTTTAGCTGGTGCTGGATGATTGGCTTAAACAATATTGCAAAATGTCCAGCATCATTAGTCTCACGTGTGGGAGAGCCATGGTTCGGCACGAAGGGGCCAGCTCGACCGGTGTGATACCGCGGCCTCACAGAAAGAAAACCGACGCGAAACGCTTGCGTTGTGTTTCGTCGTTTGAGTGAGGTCACCGGAGCGGAGGCCCACTCCCTGAATCCCCAACTTTTGGGGATTAGATCAAAGTTCTAATCCCCAAAAGGCTGGTAACGCGTCTGGTGTTCCAGGTGTCTATTGCGACGCCAATTGCTTAACATCAGGTGATCCGTCGGCTCGTTTACCGACTAATCCCATAAAAAAATATATTAATCAACCACATGACGTCCACTGGACTTAGACCACTATGACTTCTAGATTGTAGAATGTACGGTAAAGTTATAAGAGAGATACAATATTTCATGTGGAAAAGTCTTACTTTGGCATACATGTGTTGGTCGGAGTGATACCGCGGCCTCGCAGAAAACCGGCGTAAACAAGTAATCAAGTATTTATTGCATCCATAATGTAGGTACACATACAGGTGGAAAAAATAAGAGTAACGATTATGGACCCTGTTGACCACAACATTAAAAATTATCGAGAGGAAGGGCATTTTGTTTGATTTGTTGTGGTTTTAGTGTGAAGTAACGCTTGCATTGTGTTTCACCGTGGCCATAATCCAGCTGCAATATCTGGCTATGGATAACGAAGTTGTTAAACATGGTCTTTTGTTCCTCAGAGAAAAGTTCCAGAGCAAGAACAAAGGTGCTTCCTATGCGGTAGTCAGCTGCCCAAAGTACCGTTCGAGTACGACGGGTGCAAGTTCTGCCAGATCCCCTGCCTTCACAGCCATCGGAAGATCAGGCCGCTAAACAAAAGCGTAGAATAAATTACATTTTTATTTATACACAGAAGTATACATGACTGAGGGCTAAATACCAGTTTATTTTACGTTTAAAATAATCGTAACGAAACAGCGTTCGGTGCTTGGATTGGCTGGTTTATTGGATCCGGCCAATCAGAGCACCGATCGCTGCGTCATTTCGATTACTTTAAACTTAGAACAAATTTGTACTAAGGCACATCGATTTATAAAAGTTCCAGCTTATCATGGCCTCTATTCGTATGATCTTTTCACACAATAGACGTTCAGTTTATACTGGTTTTGTATAACTTGATGTGCACCGTCTGTAATTATGTATATTGACTAGACGACAAATAAATTGCGGGAGTATTTTGAGAATATTTTTATCTGAATAATTTTTTATTACTTATTATTATGGTTAGTGTAACTGATCTTGACAGACCAGTTATGAAGTTGGATGACTCTGTCTCCTGGTGAGATAAATCCGGACTCTGAGTTAGTAAATTATTTGGTTTCCAATGAGAACAACTTTCATTTTAATATATTCGTTATATATATACATATATATATATAAAACGTTGCCCCACACTAGGTTTTTCTCCTGTGTCGTGGGTGCGTTTACAAACATACAATTTCACATACACAAAGACACATTTGTGTGGATCACACAAAGAGTTGCTCCGTGCGGGATTCGAACCCGCTCCACGTAGCGCGGCAGCTGGCTTCCAAGCCACCGCGCCGTCATAAAAAAATCACAATGCGACTTTAGACTCGTATTCATAAGCAGCGTGCGCAGGCGCATTAAACCGTGGTATGGCGGAACGCCGATCTCCGCGAGACACAATATGTTTTCTATTGTGTCTCATACTCTAGGTCCTGTCTGTAGTATATAATTCTTCCATTACTTAATCCGTAGTATATAATACGTCCTATAGGTATTTTCTTTATCTATGAAATCATGACTGCAGTGCCATAAAGCTCAGTGCTGCCATCTGCGAACAAAACAAATACAATGAAACGTTTTATATCAAGATTTAGTATTATTATTTGAAAATTCAAAGGGTATTATTATGACTGAAATTTTACCCAGTCTATGGAAATAGGGTTATTCCCTGTTGCATGTAAATATAGGATTCATTCATAACTGAAGAAAAGTGGTTGTTATCTTGTAATCGTTGGATTTCAACTATCATTATCATCATCAACAGCCTATCAGTGCGCACTGCTGAGCAAAGCCTCTTCTCATACAAAGAAGGTTTGAGCATTAATCACCGAGCTTGCTCATTGAGGGTTAGCCATTTCAAACTTGTAATTACAAATTATAAGTCCAGGATTCCTCACGATGTTTTCCTTCACCATTTGTCAGTGGAGTTTAAATAATCTTAGGATGTACATATAAACAGGAAAAAGTCAAATTGGTACTTGCCGTTACCGTTGCCGTTGGTAGGTTTCGTACCTGCACCCTATATATGAGAAGCGATCGTCTTTATGTCAATACAATAAAGTCGAAGATGGAATAGAGAAATTTTAAAATGATAAGGTTACCTGCTGGCCTGGCCGATTTACCTAAAAATAAATAATAGTTACCCTGCATTTTATGTCGTCTAGTGATTATGCAAATAGTCAATTGTATCTGGCTGGATTATATTTATTGTACATCTGTTTCTTATAAGTGGACTAAAATATAATTTTGTTTTACAATAATTTTGGTTTCTATTCCTATTTATTTTTAGATTATTTATGCTTATATTATGCTATCCGAATTTGAGTTCTACTGTTTATACCGTAAGTTATATTGTAGCTGTAAAAAGTATTACATGTTTGCGTCCATTGCCATTTTTTTGTCGTAGCAATAGAACTCAGAATCGGTTGAACATTGACATTAATATAAGGAATGTTTTTCTCTTCAAAATCTATCGACATGTTGCTGTCGGCGTAGGCGAATGAATATCAAGTCATACGAATTTATCGACATTCTGTCTTTATGAATATAAGTACATTATTTATACAAAATCACAACAACATTATAATTATTTAATTATTTAAAAACTTATCGATCAATTTTCATAAAAATCGCAGTAATGTGTGGATGCAAGTTGTTGGTTTTAATTCTGTCATAGATTTTATTTCTGAATTTTAGTACTACGAAGTACAGAGTTATGTATTACGAGGCTGTGTTATTACAATTGTTTGTATTAAGTATTAAAAGAAATTCGCTCTTATTTGCTATTGATTAGAATCAATGGTCGAACATCAACAGATAACTAATGTATCCTATTTGGTCGTGTTACCTATAATGATAACAAAGTACGAATTTATATTATTATACTGGCCTGTTTTTGTATAAAAAATAATAGAGATATTAAATTAATTGGAAAAATAAAACGGGTATCTCACGTGAACGAACTTATTAAGAACAGCTCTACTAGTTTTTTTTTTATATTTCTATCACGATGGAAATCCTCATAGACTTAGACGCGCTGTCATCGTATGGCCATCGTCCAGCCAACTGACGCTGATTCCATGACGTCGTCGCGTCTCTGCACGCTGTCCATGAATAAAAGTCCCATTGTATTGTAACATGTAACTGGTTCAGCGCTTTCGCAATTAGTTCACGTTGTTTTCAACTAGCTTTTACCCGCGGCTTCGCTCGCGTCACAAAAGGATAAAAAGTAGCCTATGTGACATATACCAATACACACAGCGCCACCTATACTAATATCTTTGTTTTCCCTCGGGAATATCACATTTGTCCGGGATAAAAAGTACCCTAATATTTAATCCGGTCTTCTAACTTTACGTCTGTAAAAATTCAAAGCAAACGGTTAGTAGTTACGGCGTGAAAGCAGAACAAACAAACAAACTCACTTTCCGTTTTATAATATTAGTAAGGATTAATAATGCTCTGACTGGATGACGATGGTGCCACTTGATACCCTCAAGTGGCACCATCGTCATCCATATCATTACTGATTTATTCGTCAAACAAAATAACAAACATTTTTCTATAGGTAGGTACGCTTTTACTTTTAAACGTTGCCAAACATAGTCCGAGGACAAAACAAAAATCTGCGCGAGTTGACGAATAAGTTCATATCATACATCCATCGACGCTGACGTCTTATTCTATTCATATACATAGATGATGTAAAAGCATAGTACATAATCCAAGAAATGGACTGAAATGCCATATCTAGGTATTTAGTGATATTGTATAGCATTTTAAATAATATATTTAATTGAATTAGTCTTTATCAAGGAATATTCCACGGTAACGAATGTCGTAAGAATTGATTCAGTACCTAGTATATATAGGGCTCCTCCCCGTAGATGATAGCGTGATAATAATATGTAGCCTATAGGTTGACCCGACCTATTAGTAATATTTATGCAAAATTTGAAGTAAATCCTTTCAGTACTTTTTGAGATCATCCCGGACATTCAAACAGACGAAAATTCTAAAAACGATATTCTTGACTTCGGTATCGACTGTAGATCACACTCGAAGTATTATTAAAAAATATATTTGATGTACAGTTTTGACGTTTCTGCGATTTTATTATATATGAATACAGATTAAATTTGCTGTATACAATAATTTATAATATTTAATTACACATTATTAGGTAAGTACCTACGCACAATATACGTTAACACAGGTAGTTTGTACTCGTAAATCTCACATTATACTTAGGCCGAGATCAATGTGAAATATTTGTAAACAAATCAAGCGTTATTGGTACTACGTCTTGTCAATTACGCCGTATGTGGCACAGTTGTAACTGTGACTGTGGCATGAAGTGACACTTTATTTGTATTATAACTTCTGTGAGACAGTACCTGCGCGGCATTGGCCGCGTCGTTGGTGTCGCGCAATGCTGCTCATGAATATGAGCCCCAAGTGCGGCTTGAAACTAGTCGAGTTCCTCGTCAATTTATTTTTTATGATATAATCGATCACATGGATCAAATATATAAGTAAGCAATCGGCGTTACAAGTGCATTACCCGCCTTTTGGGGATTAGGAATTTGAGGATTGTGGAGATTCAGGGATTGCGGAGATTGAGGATGGGGGGGGGGGTAATCGGGCCTCCAGTTACCCTCACTCACATCGGTATTTTGTGGGACGTGGTATCACTCCGGTCGATCCGGTCCATTTGTGCCGAAGCATGGCTCTCCCACACTTGAATACGGAGTAAGCCGAAAACTTACAGTTTATTTACTTCATTTCTCACTTTATTTACCGACAGTTCTGAGGCCTTAGTATGAGTTTCATTTACGTTTAAAGTATTCGAAACGAGTATGCGTTCGGCACTCTGATTGGCCGGCGCCAATGAACCAACCAATCAGAGCGCCGAACTCCGTCCGTACTCGTTACGATTACTTTAAAAGTAAATCAAACTCGTACTAAGGCCTCAGATTGGCATATTCATCATTTTAGATAGAAGCACAGAATAGTGCTATTGTTGTAGTTAGTTAGTAACATAGTGGTATGTTGGCGTCGCGGAACCTAACGGGTAACCGGGGCTCCGGCTTGAAGCGCAGGAGAAGGAACGGGGTGGTTTTTAGTCAGTAACAGTCTGACACTCCCTCCCGCCTCACCCAGGCGGGAGCAGTCATTCGATAATTTCCCCCCCTTAAAAAAAGTGGTATGTTTACAAACATGACATTGATCTTGGCCAAATCTAGTTATCTACAGCAGATTTATATAGGGACAGTGTTTATGCATTTCTCATAAATATGAACTGTCTGGAAGGAACGGTATCAAATCGAAATCGTTTTGGAAGTTGAATTTTTGGTCAAACATTTCTTTGAGATGATAATTTTAATATTCTCTTATGTTATACCTACTAGCTGTTGCCCGTGATTTGGTCCGCATAAAATATGAGTTTTAGCGCATGAACTTTTATTTTGTTTAAACTTTCCAAAATAAAAGTATGCCTATAAAAGTCTCGTCAAAATCGGACCAGCCATTTCAGAGATTAGACAGTACAAACAGAGAAACAAAAAAATTAAAATAAAATGTTATTTTGATATGTATCGTATGTATATTCATATTATTATGCATGTAGTAAAAATCGGTTATTTCAGTATTACAAACAGACACTCCAATTTTATTTATCTGTATAGATTGAAGTTGTGGTTCGATGTTAATAAAGATTAGATTATAATAAGTATAGGATAAGTAGGTAAAGTTATCGTTTATGATGTTGCCATTATTTAATTTTAAAAGGGATTTGGTAAGTGTGATAATTGGGATGATGACAGGGTATGAAAATTAAAAATCTAATTAGTCCGTCAGTTACATAATGAAAAAATATTAGACACGTATTTTTTTCATTTCGTATAAAAACATTACTTAGATAAAACGGTTCAAAGTTTAGGAGTGGGAGTAAAAACGTCATTTCTATGTAGAAAACGTCTCTAAGTGACGTCACGCGACATTTCAAATCAATATATCGTCGAAATTATTTGTATCCGTAAGGAAATAAAAAATAAGTGTCTAGTGTCGAATGTTTTTAATAATTTACCAGACGGACATTAAAATAAAAATTGGTCATCTACCCTATTGGGAAGTCATGGATTAGGTAC